ACCATGCCTAGGAATCAGCGTAGGTTTCTGACAAATTGTGGCATGGGATAATCTAGGATCGCTTGGGTCTTATCCGGAAGAGTTTTGATGCCATTAGCATGGATCCTGTGACCGAGAAACTCAACAATGGACTGACCAAATGTACATTTGTCCGTGTTAGTGGTTATACCGTGATGTTCAGATTGTTCAAAAACCATTCCGAGGTGTGAGAAATGCTCGTCAGAGTTCGCGCTTGCCATCAAAACATCGTCTATGTAAACGTACACGAAATCAAGGCCGCGGAAGACTTTATCCATAAAGCGTTGGTAAGACTGTGCTGCGTTACGGAGGCCGAAAGGCATACGAAGAAATTCATATGGGCCAAATGGAGTAACCACAGCAGTTTTCGCGATGTCTTCCTCCGCCATAGGAATTTGATGATAGGCTCTGACTAGGTCAAGTTTGGAGAATACTGACTTTCCGGCTAGTCCAAGCGAGAAATCGTGGATATGGGGTATAGGATACCTATCCGGAACAGTGACGTTGTTAAGGGCTCGGTAGTCGCCGCATGGTCGCCAATCACCGAACTTGTTACACACCAGATGGAGAGGTGATGCCCAGCAGCTGTTTGAAGGGTGAACGATTCCGAGAGCAAGAATGTGTTCCAATTCCCTTTTAACTGCTTGAAGTTTGTCTGGACGTAAGTGTCTGGGCTTAGCACTTACTGGCGGACCGGTTGTAACGATGTGATGGCGCACCTCGTGTTTAGGTTCGGATGTGTCGTTACTTGCTTGAATTAGCGACGGAAACTGCCGGAGCAGCGAAGAGTACTGCGAACAGTCAGGTATGAGAATACGGAGCCCGAGAGAATTTACTGAAGCTAGTTTGCAGGGTACACTTAAAGCCCGTGGTATCCTCTCGTAATTTCCCGCAACGCAGGTCAACAACAAGACCGAAGTTGCTGAGAAAATTAATTCCATTGATCGGCTTTTGCACATCAGCGATGGTGAAAATAAAGGGAAAGTTAGGTTGTAGTCCTGGGCTTAACCTAAGTGGTTTCTGGCCGTAAGTCGCGATTTTAGTTTGTTTGGCTGCCTGTAGCATTAGATCAGCTGGTTGCATGGGCGTTTTTCCAAAGAACGGGGTAGAACCCTGACTTCTGCACCAGTGTCCACCAAGAAGTAAAGTTTGGTTGTGGAGCCAAATACGTACAGCAGGCGACTAATGACCTGACCAGCGGCAACCGCCGCCATTACTGGCTGGCCATGTGGTTACGCAGCGACGGAGTTGAAAAGGCTTTAGGGTGTTGATACCCTGGGCGGCAGTTACGCGCTGCGTCTCTGAAGTGGTGGTGATAATAACAATCACAGCTTGACTGTCGTGTACGAGAGTTACTACGACGCCTGGTTCGAGAAATGGATCTTCGCGAAGAAACATGATCACGTCTGAGATGGGACAAACTGAGCTCCAAGTTAGTAAGTCTCTCGTTGATAGAATCAAGCAGTGTGGTTACTGAAGAGTTACCTGTACCAGCCTCGGTTACGTGGGACACCGACGTTTTAATGAAGCGCTCGTGAGCTTTATCAGCAGCTTCTGTCAGCTTGTCTAACGTGAGATCATCGGGGAGCACAGCTGGCATAGCCGCCGTATTCGCAGGAAGACATTTAGTCCACAGTTGGCGGAGTACGGAATCATAGATGGTGGAAGAACTGACTAGTGATCGCATATGTCGAAGTAGCTGAAACGGCCTTCCGTCTCCGAGCTCAACACCAGAGAGTAAAATCTGAAGACGTGTTTCGTCTGAGGCTGTAGTGCGCTTTAAACATGGCTGCCATAAGTTTATCGTAGGGGGAGTCTACGGGCACGGGATTGACAATCTCGATAACCTCTGAAGCGATGTTGAATGGTACAAGGGCAGTCATATATAAAAACATGGTGGATTGGGATGTGATTCTACGAAAATGAACGATTGCTTTTACTTGAACAAACCATACGCGTGGATTAGAAACGTCAAATGAAAGTAACACGAGGCCAAGAGATGTTCCGACGCATTAACAACGGGCGTTTGGTCACACATTATGAAAAAAGGGAGCTAAATTATACACAGAAAATAAATAAAAATACGGGGTCACCAGTTATGTAGAGAACCAGTAACGTGAATAGCGTTAGTCAAAGGTTAGGTTCACCTTACGTAAAGGGATTTTGATACGCTTCAGTGTTTGACGACGGTAGAAACGCAAGCTGTGCAGAGGCAGAAGCACATATATCCCGGCGATGGATTAGTCAGACAGCAGAGCGCATAATCACAACAACAAACCTTCGGCAACCAAGGTAGAACGACGTCAAGACGAGCTTGAACCAGTTGTTGTGTATACATAGGTGATTAAAACCAAACTGTACATGAACTGCAGCGAAATGTGGGAGCGTAAAAATATAAGTAAGCAAATTATTTACAATCGGTACAGGTGTCACCGTCGCATCCGCTCTGTGCCAGAACAGGTTTCTTACGGCGAACCTCGCTACTTACCTGTTCTCCATTTATAAAAGTAACATACATTAAGGTAGTTTATTCTTCCTGCCATAATCTCACTTTTTTTAGCCATGCCATCGTCCGCGCCCATTTTTAAACAATGTTTACTTTGGTACCTGTCCATGAATCAGAACACGTCGAGGTATATGGTCGACACGAAGTGCAGTAAAAGTGACTTGATCTTTGTGAATGATCAAGCCCGTTCCGAGGTCATTTAAGACACCAGCTCGTCTGAGGCCAACCAGTAACCCCACATCATCCAGGTACTGCTTCTCTAGCACTGGTATTCGAAACAGTCTGCTGCTATCTTCAGCGCACAGTGTTCTGTATACACATTCCTCATACGTGGCTAAAACCGGTCACGTGAGCTTTTGTGAACTTTGCGGCAATCTCATCACTGGTGTGCCTATGAGAAGCGATGCACTTATCTGAGTGCACGAACCGAACGTCTGCTTCTTTGCCGTCTACAATATCCCCGGACTCGCCAGCTCAATTCGACAGCTGTAATTCACACACAGAATCACATACAGAAACGTTCGAATACCGGCGTCCATTTTATTCAATAGTACTTGCGCGCGGTTTTGGTCCTGCCACAGATACATGGCATCGTACACCAACTCCGAATTTACCATTTCGCCACATGATAGCAGTTTCACTCCAGATGAACAATTTGTTCGTTGAGTTCAAGTAGAAGCAAATGGCATTGATGTACCTAGCTTCTTGTGCTGTCCTTAGGGGGGAGTTTCACTCTGATGCCTGCATGTTGTCATGGACCGCAGTACTATGAGTTCAGGCTAGATGGACTCTAACCAGCATGCCGACCACGAGAGGATGCAGTTGGTTGACATAAGGTCAAAATATGAGTCAGTGAAGACAAGGATGGTGGGTTGTCTGTGTCGGCGACTTTCCTTAAGTTACTGATATGTGAGATGCCTCAACGAAATGCCGGTGGCCGAGTGATTCCGCTCCTGATTTGCAACCATAAGGTCATCGGTTCGAATCCGCTTAGAGGTGGGCGTCTTTGCGGTATACTCAGCTCACGCGCGACTGGTGGTGGTCGCGTGGCAGCGAAGCACCGTTACGGCGTACAGCTGGCATTTCATTCATTCATTCTATGATCAGTTTATAGGCAAAGCTATTACGTGACTGTTTACGCATAACCGTACAGTTCGGCACATCACATTACCTACCAGTCCACTCACAATCGCGGCAACACTCACATGTGTAGGACTGACCGCCAACTGTCCCAAAAGGTGCTGGAACACCGCAAAGTGGCTAAGGTAGTCGCTGTTGCAACAGGTGGACTGCACCAAGTGACAAACCGTAAGTACTATTGCGCATCAGAACTCAGAACCTGTCGGCAGTTATTGAGGCGTTACTGTTTATGGTGAATCGTTCGATGTTTTGTGCGCAGACGCACCTGAAGTACTTAACTAGCTTAACTTGGGCTGCGTGTATTTTCATGCCTTTGCAGTTAGTGAAAGTAGTCAATTATAACGCATCGCAACTCTGTCTTCTCACTATCTTGATAAAGCAGTAACCGGACTGCTTTTGCATCCCATCAACCTGTCAGCTATAGAAGTGTGCTGGCGACCGGTCTGAAAATGTCTCCACATGTGTCATACAGATTTAACTGGGCAACGAAGTCAACCATCACTGATTCATCGTCTCCACCGCTTTTTTGAAACGATAATGAGCTATTCTCGCGGTTGTCAGAGTTGAAATGTGTGCTTTTAACTCTCGCAGCATGCTTAGATGGTTTACTAGATCCCGAATGCGACCGGAAGGTTGAGCTGACTTTCAGCCTACTCAAAATGGCACACATATTAACGGCTCTGCAAGCGAGTCGACCCTCCATTTTTCTCCCTGACTGTTTCATCCACTTAAGTACACCTTAGTCCGGCGCCTTAAAACAAGTGGAACAACGGTCAATTGCTTCCAGTCACTCTGATCTTCCATATCACTTCGGTATTTTAACATTCTTCAGGATATGCACTATCAGCAATACAATTTTGCCGACGCGGTTTTGACGCTGTAGTAGCTCGAGTACCGATTAACGGAAGGAACAGCCTTTCGTGCCTTACCCGCCGTAGTAGATCTCACAAAACGGTGTCCACTAACGAGGTCTTTCAATCTAAGCAGAGAGGACAGTTCCTGGGCCCTTATTTTCGTCCCGTTGGAGGCTGCATCAATTGTTGTCCTCCTTAATCGTAAAGCCTAAGCAACAAGTTGACTTGACGTCTTCACCGCACAAACTGTGATTCTGTTAAGAGCTGCGGGTATTGAGGTTGAATCTCTTGTTGTGACCTCCAGAGGGGACGCAATGCTTGCATGAATTCAGACGTGACTGATATATGGGTTGGTTCCCCATGATTTCCGGGACGATTGCAAACAACACCTGGCCGCTGCTTCTGTCGCTTTGTCCTATGCGATTTTTCTGTCTTACCTCATCCACTCTGACGATAAATCGTACTCTATCTCATCATCCCAGTGTTCAAAGGACGCGATCTGGAGAAGGATTTGATCAAGGAAACATCTGGGCATTTCAAGCGCATTCTGGTTAGTTTGGTTCAGGCAAATCGTGACGAAAGTACCACAGTGGATCCAAACGCCGTGCAACAAGACGCGATGGCATTGTACAATGCTGGGGAGAAACAGCTGGGCACAGACGAATCCACGTAAGTCTCCAAACTGAAGTGTGCGAACCACTGTCCAATGCGACACGCGTGCAGATCCTTTTACCATTGAGTGCTATGTTTGAATTGGTTAGACTGTTTTTGTGCTACCACGCCTGTACATTTTCGTTACGGTTACCTGGAACCTCGCGATAGGGCAACACGGGATGTTGGATCAAGCATACGTCTGTCTTCATACTCTAGTCCTGGAATAAGGGTGGCTGGGTACGAAAAACTTATTCGTCTCGGCTTCCTCCATTTTCTTAATTATTTTGTCGATTGACTATTCAGTGCTGTGTAGTGACTATTTTCCAAAAGCTTGTTTCCGCGAAGTGGAATTATCTCGAAGCGCGCATTCATTTTCCCCCAACTAGAGACCTTGGTCTCGCAATTGATGGAGCATACTCCGGATCAAACATTTCTCATAGACACCTGCAGATGATGGCAGCAATCGAACGCTACTAAGAGGGGTGGGATGGAGTAAAACTTGTACTTAATGGGACGACCACAGTTGGATGAAAGCGTGTGACTCATATGTCATAGTGGTTCACCCTATCCATATTAAGCTACTTAATCGAAGGTGATATGAAGTTTATATTTTGTGTGTTGTCCTCCACGCCACAATCGCGAGGTGTCTTGTCGTGTTTATACATTTAAGTATTGTCTACTGGACTTTGGTCCACATTTGTAGCCTCCGTCGATCTATCGTGGTCGCTTAAACAAGGGTCACACGGGACAGGAAAGCACGCTGTGAATGGTAGGCAGATTGGCGTACTGTGTTTACTTAGTTGTAAGTGCTAGGTGGATTTTTTGGTTACTCTGTCGAAGGTTCTTCGCAGTTAGAATCAGGCAGACAGCCACCACATATCCAGGAAAGCGCTAGAAGGCCGTTTCCTATTATTGGTATTCGTCAGCAACGCACACTCGCCGAATCCTACCGGATTAGAACCCAAGACCTTACGCTTGCCAGCCAGCGACTTGTACCACTGAGCAGAGGGCGACGGCAGCGGACCGCCCTAACTGATATCTAACTGCGATATAGCGCGGCTGATCCACTATTGTCATACATATCATGAACGTGCAGAGGATAGGGCTGGAATCCAGATCCACCACTTCCTTTGCATGTATTCCCGTGGGTCTTGATCATCAACGCGGAGTTGCGATGGAATCTATTCTCGATAACTCAACAGACACTTACGCTTACGAGATTGATTCTTACACCAGTACGCTAGTGAAACAAAAATGAGAATGGTTGATTTGCAACACCTTGAACGGCATTAGTATATTTCTTCCATGCGCAGCTTCATCAATCCGGGCGGCAAACGTGGCGATGGAACCTGCAGATCTACGCACGATACGCAACATCATCAACAACAGCAGTACATCAGCCATTTGAACTGATGCTTCGCTGCCATACACCCCTGAGAACGTATAAAATAAAGAATGAGGGGAGGGAGAGAAGAGGGGACTTACCTGAAAACCTTAATGCCCTAAGCAAACATTCAGGGTCAAGGCGCCTACACCTTGTGTAGACAACATACCGTCACAAACAGCTGGCTATCGTGCAAAGATAAGGCGGCATCGGCGAGACAGCTTCCTTGCGGCTTTCACTGCCACGCGTCATAATCAGCACCAAACACACATTACAAAGGCAATCCGAATAGGAGACGGCAGCAGACGCGCCACTGGTGCCGGTTGCGAGCCATATCATGTAAACTGTCGAGTGAAGCATAAGACGAGTCACGTGGAATCCAGCCCGGAAGGCGAGACGGACCAACGGCACCTAGTTTGGTCGTCAGTGACTTCATTTCACGCTGTCAAGTCAACTTCTGTCCACCTCGAGCCTTGTGCCACCTTACATCTGGCAGACTAAACAAGTCCCTCCTAGGTAAGCGATGAGCAGGCTTACATAGCATCTGCCCAAGCCAACGCAACTTATTCAGTACTATCTGTTGTTCTAGGGAGCTAGCATGATTATCACCACCTAGTACTCGCCTACGCATATCATCGTTGCGGACACCCTTGTGCCATCCGACACCAGCATTGCTTCGCAGACAACGATGATCAAAGACTTGAAGGCGCTTAGATCTTCAGACCGAAGGGGCCAACTTTCACTACCATAGAGCAGAACGGCCCTCACTGTGGCCTTGTATACACGGCCTTTTAGACGGAGGGGAACTCCCTTCTGTCGCTAAAGGTGCCACAGGTTCAAGAAGGCAGTTCTGGCCTTTGCAATGCGTGAGCTGACGTCAGTTTCTATGCGCCCATCGTTGCTGATGCAGCTGCCAAGATAAGTGAATCGATCAACCACCTCGAGTTCCTCATTAGCAAGCGTCAAGGGGTCATTAAGTGGCCGGTGGTCCTGCAGCAACACTTTGCACTTTGAAGGTACGAAGGGACCATGCTAGACAGGCTATTCAGGGTTGCTTGTGCTGCCGCAACATAGTTGAAAAGCAAGACGATATCGTCCGTATAATCAAGATCAACTAGTCTTCCACCAAGCAACACTTCAACGCCTACATCATGCGATTCCGCAAGGGAACACTCCATGATAGAATCCCCAACGAAATTGAACAAAAACGAGAAATCGGACAACCCTGACGAACGCCACTTGTAGTCGGAAAACTATCCGATAGGCCATCGTAGACCCTGACGCGGCCTGTAGTGTTCGAGTATAGAGTACGAAGGATGTTCACATATTTCGTGGAAACACCTTTCCGCGCAAGTATTTCGAACAGAATCGATCAATCGGACGCACTCTTGAAATCGAGGAACATAGCTATTGTCGGTCTGCGGTATGCATGGCGCTGCTCTAACACCTACCGCAGAGTGAATATATGGTCTATACAGCCACTTCCTGGGCGGAAACCGGCCTGCTCTTCCCTACTCCGAGATTCCCGTTCCGCAATGAGGCGACGAACGAGAATCGAGGCCAATAATTTTGTCACAACTGGCGTCAGGCTAATATTCCTGTGGTTAGAACAGTATGTGCGACTGCCTACCTTGTATATTGCCACTATAATCGATTCGCTTCAGTTAGCCGGGACACTCTTCTTTCCAGATACGTTCGAATAGGGAGGTCAGTGCTTTGCAGTGGACCTCATCTCCATCCTTAAATAGTGCAGGTGGGAGGGAATCCGGGCCAGCGGCACGAAAACGATTGAGGGCTGTAATCACGTTTCGGACCTCGACCTCCGACGGAAGCTCTAAACTAACCGTCCATGGCTCGTCCTGCATCACCTGAGTGGAAAGAGTTTCGGGCGCAGGGGGTAGCTGAACTAATCTTGAAAGTGTTCTGTCCAACGAGCCATACGGCACTCCTTATTGTGTATCAGCGCACCCGCACTGTCTCTGATTGTCTAACTGACGCCTGATTTCTTGGGACCAGTAGTGCGGATCAACTGGAAGAGTTTGCGGTACTGGCTTACTGCTCCTGCCTCCACCATTTCTTGAGCCAGACTGGTCCACCAGGCTTCCTTGTCAGCACGCAGGCTCCGGTTTAGTTCGCGCCTAATAGTCCGTCTAGTTACATTGTGCTCAGAGCCAGTTGGGAGGTTTCTTCTAGATTCCAACTGATTCACCAACCTCTCGGATATTCGGTCACGATTGATAGTTCCACAAGCAGATGCTCCTGCGTCGTGCAAGGCGGTCGAAATCCTATTCCAGCGAAGCTCAGTGTCATTAGAACAAGGCAGGGAAAGTTCGGTATGCACTGCGTCTTGATAGGCTTGCCTGACCGAGGGCTGAGACGATTTCTCAGTTGTCAATCGGAGGAGGCTTGGTGCGTCTCGCAGCAACGTTCATGAAGAAACGATAACGTACCAAGGCATGATTAGAATCCACGCAGGTACTCCAGTACGAGACGTAACCCAAGATGGAACCACGCCACCTGTAACTTGTGACTGTGTGATCAGTTTGCGTCCATCGATAGCCAGCTACAGGAGGACGCCAAGTAGCACTTCGATGCCCACTGTCTAAAAGCAGTGCTACTAAGAAACAACTGGTGCTCCGCACGCAGTTGCAGCAGACGCTCGCGGTTGTCAGTCCGTTCGGAGTTAAGCCCACAATTACCACCCAGCTGAGCTTCTGAAGAGCTCAGACACCCTACTTGTGCGTTCATATCCCCTGCATGTACTATAATATCTGAACTAGTAGCACTGCGTAGTAGCGCGCATAGTTCGTTGGCAGCATTAAATTTGCAGTCGGTGGGAGCATAAGCGGAAATCACAAACAAACAGCGTTTTTTACTACTTTGTGGATCAACCTTAGCTGATATCTTCCAACGGGCTGCACACAAATGGCTGTTCACCGGATTCCAATCAACCAACGACGGCTCACCAGCTTGACCCGTGAGTGCTGCATGGGCGTCTCTGGATGCGTGCAACCAATAACGAGAGGATAAGCCGGGTGCGGTTAATTAGACAACTCCATTAGGGTCATTGATTCTACTTTCGGACACACAACACACATCAATACCCAGTGGGTCTAACATGCGTGCGAGTGTAGTCTGTTGACCTAATTGTCTTAGAGTGCAAACTTTGAATGCTGCTGTGGAAACGGGACATCGTGACCTTATAAGGGATTGTTGCCGATAGGCGTCCGGTGCATGTCGCGAGAACGTGGCTGCAGATGGTTCTACTCCATTGGCACTACGGTTGCTGTCAATCAAGCTGGGAATTATAGAAGGAAGGTTAGTAATGGGGGGTCGGGATGGGAGTAAGAGAAACAGGTGGAAAACAAAGAAGGGAGTCGCCAACAGTAGCATGTTTTCGCTTATCCGCTCTACTGTATACAGCAGATAAGGCGACCCTTGATAATCTGCGCGACGGCCGATGCAGGATGAAGTTTATGTTTGAAAAAATGTAATGGTTGTATGTGAGCTGAGATACTGTCAGCGCGCCCAGACCTAGACAGGACGATTAGGGTCCTCATCCAAAGTATTTAGCTCAAAAACCTGTTCGCAAGGCAGCGGGGAGGTGGCAATGATTTCGTTTTACAGAAATGGACGTCATCCCATTTCAGACCACCCCACCTGGAGGACCAGGAGACTGCGTTTGTCTGACCTCTAACCATTGACCAACCTTGTAGGGATAGCTCTCAAGGTGCCCGGAGGCACCACCCAGTATAGCTTAATGCGTCGAGGAGGTACACAAACCGTCGCAAACCGTTAGGGTCCAGTCTCCTTTCGACTTTTGCTACCTTAATCAATCAAGTTAGTCATTGAACGAATGGACTGGCACTGTTCAGATCATCGCAACTCAACCACTCTTTTGCCACCTTGTGATTCCCTGAAGATAGTCATCGGAAAGAAATATCTTCGTAACTTTATGGTCTTACCTCTCCATGGGTGTATTTTTCTAGTTTAAATGACGAGAATCTAGAATGCAGACGAATGTTTCTATCGCGCCGTTCGGGAGTGGCCAACACGGTCGAGACGACCTTCAACTCAAGGACGGCGGTCACTAATGGTCATAGGACGCGACTGAAACAAATTGCGAAGTTTAAGTAAATAACCAAGACGGTCTCTGCCCATGTGGAAATCGGCCCGACTATCTACTCCTCCTTGCCGGCCATGACTGATGAGCTGTGGGTGAAGAATTTTACAAGCATTTATGCTATAGCTGACAATTTCCGTGAAGCTCATTTGGCTCTACAAAATGAAGGGTTATGGTCAATAACCATTATTTTATTCCGAAGATAACTTCCATGCTATTGTGCTAGTGGAGCGTCTTGACTAGCTATGGTTGCACTGTTATCTCCTTTTAGTAGCTAGGAGAAAGTTTGTAGGCTTACAGCATCAGTCTTTGTCGAAGACGAATCACGTAGTCTTGATTTCACCTTGACGAAGATCTCAGCTAGGATGCTAACTAGTGCCTACAACTGGCTAGTTGAACTACATTCCGAGAATTTCCGCCTCATGTTTAATCAAATAGTTGGCAGTTGTTCGTTTCACGAAAGTTTTTCTCGGACCCACAACCATGATGGGATTGAACAATGCCATCCGTCTTCTCTTTTCGTGGGCGCTCGTTGTCCGCCATCTAGCCGGTCTCTTCGATACAGGCCGGCTATTACGCTGGCTTAGTTTCAGTCATTGCAGAAATGATAATGGGTCATCATAAAATCTTTACCCACTTGCGAACACCCGTACTATGGGCTACAATGGGACCATCATAGACGAGACAGGTGGAAAGTAATTAATTTTTCTATTACTGCTCAAATATGCCCTTATCTGTGACATCTCTCTAAGTTGCCAAAGAGCACTGGACAAGTTAGCACTGGCTGTCAGTCGTTTTGGGCAATGCTTCGCACCCTCGAAATGCAAGGTCCTTCTCCAAGATTGGCAGGTACCCATCCCTGCGCCGACCCTTGTTGGGGATAAGCTAGAGTCGTTGTGAAATTCTGGTATCTAGGCGGGTATATCAGCGTCAATGGAACGGAAGATTAGATCACAAACCCCATAACAAAAACTCGGTGCTTTTGCCACTCTCCGCCATCTGTGGCGCCAGCGCGATGTCACTTTCATCCTGAAGGGCAGAGTTTACAATGCAGCCGTTTGTTCAACCCTACCGTATGGTTGCGAAACCTGGCCCATCAAGTCGACAAACATAAAGTGACTACTCACGTTCGATCATCGCTGCCCTCGCAGCTTAGCTCATGTATAGTGGGAGCACCACGTGGGCGATGAACGTGTTCGACGTCGTGTATTTGGTGCAAGCAGAGCAAGTGAACCGCTCAGCACCAGGCTCCGATGGCTAGGCCACGTGTTGCATATGCCAGCCTACCGACTCCCGCGTCTTGCGTTGTTTACACGCCCGGGGTCTGGATGGAAGAAGAGGAGAGGTGGCCGAGCGATGACTTGGTAAAAAGGAATGAAATCCTTCACTTCGAAGTTGGCGTCGGTTGGTATGTACCGACTGCCTGACCGGGGTCCGAAGGTCCATGAACACGTTTGGTTGGATACACTAGTTGACATGGCAAGGAGCGGGCCTCAACGGCGTTGAAATTTTGAGTTTCTTTGTCCTTCTCCATCCTGCTTATCTGCCCCATCCAACCTCGCTCTCCCTCTTGGTGCATAATATGTTATTAAATAGTCTGTCGCCGGTTGTTTTAGCATTCTATAATTTTCGGCATCTTGCTTTTTCCCTTTATCTTGTCTTTATATGTTGTCGCACAATAGTTGAAGTGTGTTTCTCACCTTCAGTTTATAGTGATGATGATGATCAGGACTTGTTCATTTTACGGGAAATCTAGTTTAATTATTTGGGATGAAGAGGTTTCTTACCTGTCCCACGCAAATGGACTCTTACAATGGATAAAAATTCGACTCACCGCAATAGAAAGGCGCTACCTGGTTACTGCCGGTTGTTTATCGACACTCCACAGTCGATAAGCTATGTTTCCGCCCTAACAATTTGAGTGCCGCGCTTTCACCGGTCACTGACTAGCACCACAGTGGGATGTACAATCGCCTAGCAATTAGAGAGCACTAGCTTTGATGTCAGTCCACTCTCGCACTGCCTGGGTCACACATTCACCTAGGGTGCAAAAGAATTTCTGTGGCTAGCAGTAAACCATACCAGCTGATCACATCACGTGCTTTCTAGAAGGCCAGTCAGTTGATCAGCAAGTCGGTCAAAGATCGATCAGTGAGCGGCATTCGCTGGCTGGACCAAACGGCACAATTCCACGTCGTCACGCGTGTGTATGTGAACTCGGATTGCAAAAGTGCACTCCGACTGGTCTTCAGCACACTAAACAATCGTGCTTGTTGGAGGAGGCAGCAGAAAATTCCATATTCGTAACTAAAGGATTATATATATATATATATATATATATATATATATATATATATATATATATAATTCGATCTGTTGCAGGTTGGATCTCAAACAGCTAATATCTTGAACGGGGTTTAAAGCCATAAATTATCGCGAGTCTTGCCGGTCACTGGGCTCCGCTGTGGCTTCCGAATGCTTGCATAACATAATACATAGACGCCAGCGACTGCGCGCTCATAACAAAATTACTTTTGTTCTCAATTCTGCTATAGATTCAATCTCATTCTGGTTTCCAAGTCAGAAGCCCATGTGCGTGCGGTTATAGAGGTATATGGGTCAATTAGCAAACGTGACTTTGAAACTGCCCTCAAATCAGAGATGAGCGGTGATCTACTGCAATCGTTTCTGAGCGTCAGTAAGTTGAACAGTAATAGCTTGTCGAATTTTTTCAATCACTATGCATTGTTAGCTGCACAGATTTTACGATTTTTCTGTCCTTGCTCCTCGGCGGTGGCATCGTTTACCGCGGGTCTATACCAATTATTACTTTAACTGATGTTCCGTTAGTTGTGTTACTTTCCATGTCTTGTAAGGACTGGGACAACGATTAGAGTATCAACAAATGACAAATATTCTTCCAACATTTTTGATCATATTCCGATGGAGTCGTTAAGTTTAAATTTCCAAAATCTCCCACAATACTGTATTCCGTTTTCGTATTCTATATATATATATATATATATATATATATAAAGTATTCACTTTAAAAACGACAATTTTCAAACCACATTGGCATATTGCAAACCACATTGGACATTGTGCAATCCACTGGATATTTCGCAAAACAAATAGAATTATTTGTAAAACACTGGACATTCTACAAAGTAAATTGGATTTTATGCAAAACAATGGAACCTTTGCAGAACATAATGGTGTTTGCAAACCACTTTGGACACATTGGATGTTAAGCAGAAAGTCAGCAATTCACTTGCAAGGAATCAAGAATAAGGCGACTAGATGATGTTCAGACTACATCGCAGTCATGCTAATGCAACCGAATTGTGCAACCAGCGGGTGCCACTGCAAACTTTTCTCTTAATCTTGAACCTCGATCGCCTCGAGCAAAGGCGTAATTTATGTGCTTCCGATTTCACATATGGACCTGTGTAGCTATGTGACCATTGGAAAGTCCGACTTCCAAATAGCGTTGCCTACCATGACTTAAACAAATGCTATCTAGCATTGGAGTGTCGTTGTGATGCCGTAGCTGACGAAGTAGATAGGCAGCGATCCTGTTGTCCCCTGTCACTCTATGGGACTTCGCGTACTTTGTGTGGGCCAACCTATTCAGCTGCTCGATTATTAGATCACTGCAAGCTATCATGACTCCATCAAACACAGCATAGCTTTATGACCTACTGCTGCAAGTCGTTATCGAAGAAAGGGGAGTAAAACGACTCTACGATGTTCAGACCACATTGTATTCGCGCGAACGCAACGGGACTGTGCAAGCAGTGGGCTATTGTGTCATCCCTTCTCTCGATCATTGGCGCTGTTCACCTCGAGCCAACCAGGCGACTTGGTTGTCCCGCGTCGCTCTATGTGCTTTCGCGTTTTTCCTGTGGGTGCATGAGCGAACCTATGCAATACAATCACTAGAACACTTGGCTATTATGAATCCACCTAAACCAGTCTAGCTTCATTCGTTTACACCTGTAGCATGTTATCAATTCAGGAGAGTAAGAGGACTGTACGGTATTCCGGCTACATTGCGCTAACGCGAAGGCATAAGCAGTGGGCGATTGTGCAATCCCTCCTCTTGATTATGGGCGTCAATTGTCTCGATCAGAACCGGTGACGCAGTCGTCCCATGTCACTATGGGCCTTCGCGTATCTTATGTGGGTATGTGAGTGAACCCATTATGTTCGTCGAAGACTAAAACACACACGAAGCTGCTGAAGTCGCGTATTTCAACAAGCGCACGGCAAGGAATATCATCATCGCTTACAAGAAGGAATGCACAAATACTCGGCAATCGACAAGGAGGAGTTTAATCTCGTTATCATCCAGTGCGTGGATGAGACAGCTGAACAGCATTACGCGGCTGTAGTGGTTGTGATCACACTATATTCTATCTTTGTCCATATCACTTCCGTTACCGATCCTTTTGTGCCGTTTGTTTTTAAATTCACAAAGTTTGAATACAACAAGTTCAACACGCTCGCGTCATACTGGTTTCGTTTGCTGCTGCCATGTCTTTCCGGTAATCGGAGCTATATCTTCGAATCGCTAGTCGGCATCGGAATAACATTGACTGTGGGAAGAACTATAACGCAGGTATGCTTGCTTGTTTTTCTATGGTGATGTTTTGCCTAAGACTGTCTTTTGCCCCCACGGTCGAACTTATTAGATCACGGACTTCTACAAGGGCATTTTGGTATAGTTGCAGCAGCGGCTGAGGGAGATCGGGACCCATTCATCCTTATTTAGTGTCTTCAACACTAACAAGGGGCTACGGATAAAGCTCAACTTTATTACGAGCAAAACGGCGTCAATAGTGCCCCGACATGGCAACCTGACTGGCCTACACTATGGACATGGCAGTAAACGCCCTATTCTTTCATGCCAGCTTCGGCAGTTTGGTTTCGGAATCGTCTACTTTGAAAGGAAAGTGTTGTATTGAAAGAAAGAGAGCATTAACGTTAAAAACGTTCAGTTACTTAAGGGCTGTCCAGCGGCTGCTTTTGTCAGGTTCAGCATCATTGAGGACGCAGTTCGTGAAGTCTCGTTTCGTTACCCTTCCAATACTCTCTTGAATGACCATGCTTAGCGTCTGGTCAGGCATCGGATTAGCCAACAGGCGTCTCGCCGATGCTTTCACCTTCGAAAACGAATGTTCTACTGGGCTTGGCATGTACCAGTATGGCTAGAGGAACTTTAGCTGATCGGATGAGCCCAAGATCCTCTTTAGATCATCCGGTATGTGGATCTTGGCGTTGTCTATGATCAGCCATGCGCCGTTCATCTCCACTCTGCAGCATATACGCTTCACAAGTTCCTCAACAAACGTGGAGAACTTTGCACCATTGCAACTTCCATCATTGATGATCTTTGAGTGGACGATGCCTTGGTTATTCACTGCCAAAATCAGCGCCACTATTCGGCCTCTGACTGTAAGCAAGACGACGTTCGCGCGCGTCCCTCTTCTTCTGTGGGCTTGAGTCCGTCGCATGTGGAGATTGAACCCGTTCTCATCTATGAAGGTGCCTTTTTATTTGTCATTCGGTGCGTGTACCTAGAAGTCAAGAGCGCAAGCTTGACGGCTGGGATGGTCTTGGCAGTGTTAACTCCGTTTTGCTCGTAATGAAGTTGAGCTTTATCCGTAGCCCCTTGTTAGTGTTGAAGACACTAAATAAGGATGAATGGGTCCCGATCTCCCTCAGCCGCTGCTGCAACTATACCAAAATGCCCTTGTAGAAGTCCGTGATCTAATAAGTTCGACCGTGGGGGCAAAAGACAGTCTTAGGCAAAACATCACCATAGAAAAACAAGCAAGCATACCTGCGTTATAGTTCTTCCCACAGTCAATGTTATTCCGATGCCGACTAGCGATTCGAAGATATAGCTCCGATTACCGGAAAGACATGGCAGCAGCAAACGAAACCAGTATGACGCGAGCGTGTTGAACTTGTTGTATTCAAACTTTGTGAATTTAAAAACAAACGGCACAAAAGGATCGGTAACGGAAGTGATATGGACAAAGATAGAATATAGTGTGATCACAACCACTACAGCCGCGTAATGCTGTTCAGCTGTCTCATCCACGCACTGGATGATAACGAGATTAAACTCCTCCTTGTTGATTGCCGAGTATTTGTGTATTCCTTTTTGTAAGCGATGATGATATTCCTTGCCGTGCGCTTGTTGAAATACGCGACTTCAGCAGCTTCGTGTGTGTTTTAGTCTTCGACGAACATAATGGGTTCACTCACGTACCCACATAAGATACGCGAAGGCCCATAGTGACATGGGACGACTGCGTCACCGGTTCTGATCGAGACAATTGACGCACATAATCAAGAGGAGGGATTGCACAATCGCCCACTGCTTATGCCTTCGCGTTAGCGCAATGTAGCCGGAATACCCTACGCAATGTAGCCGGAATACCGTACAGTCCTCTTACTCTCCTGAATTGATAACATGCTACAGGTGTAAACGAATGAAGCTAGACTGGTTTAGGTGGATTCATAATAGCCAAGTGTTCTAGTGATTGTATTGCATAGGTTCGCTCATGCACCCACAGGAAAAACGCGAAAGCACATAGAGCGACGCGGGACAACCAAGTCGCCTGGTTGGCTCGAGGTGAACAGCGCCAATGATCGAGAGAAGGGATGACACAATAGCCCACTGCTTGCACAGTCCCCGTTTGCGTTCGCGCGAATACAATGTGGTCTGAACATCGTAGAGTCGTTTTACTCCCCTTTCTTTCGATAACGACTTGCAGCAGTAGGTCATAAAGCTATGCTGTGTTTGATGGAGTCATGATAGCTTGCAGTGATCTAATAATCGAGCAGCTGAATAGGTTGGCCCACACAAAGTACGCGAAGTCCCATAGAGTGACAGGGGACAACAGGATCGCTGCCTATCTACTTCGTCAGCTACGGCATCACAACGACACTCCAATGCTAGATAGCATTTGTTTAAGTCATGGTAGGCAACGCTATTTGGAAGTCGGACTTTCCAATGGTCACATAGCTACACAGGTCCATATGTGAAATCGGAAGCACATAAATTACGCCTTTGCTCGAGGCGATCGAGGTTCAAGATTAATAGAAAAGTTTGCAGTGGCACCCGCTGGTTGCACAATTCAGTTGCATTAGCATGACTGCGATGTAGTCTGAACATCATCTAGTCGCCTTATTCTTGATTCCTTGCAAGTGAATTGCTGACTTTCTGCTTAACATCCAATGTGTCCAAAGTGGTTTGCAAACACCATTATGTTTTGCAAAGGTTCCATTGTTTTGCTTTAAGTCTAATTTCTTTTGTAAAATGTCCAATTTAGTTTGAAATATATATATATATATATATATATGTACGTATCTTTAACACGATACTGTGCACAAGACATAGAGCCACCGCAAAGCGTGGGATGAATTTGCGTTATAAGTAGAGCGATCAGAAAGCGGAGAACAAAGGCAGCAGTTTCTATGTATTATTCACACGCGGTTTTGTCTTTTTTCTCAGTTTAGCGATCATGGCTTTGATAATTCTAATAAATGCATCGATTCGTGCATATCCTCAATTGATTCTGATTCCGTGCTTTTTTCAAATATTTTCTACCGGTGGTCTTCTTGATCTTTGACTCCCCAGCCCGGAAGACGCACTGGACTGACGGTAGCTTGACTGAGCGCTAGCGCCTTGACATTTTGTTACCTTGTGGTAGCTTGTCCACTCCGCTATTTCTGCCAGTGCTGCCCTACGCGAGGAAATATAGCGCGCCGTAGTAAGCGCTCGCACAGCATGCGTAGGAGGTGACCTGGGCACCTTACTA